TTGTTTACTCGTGTCATGGATGCTTGTTTGTTGAATTTTGCGCAAAGTTATGCGAAGATTATTTACGCTATCCGCCCTTAATCTAAAAGTGATTGACTAAAGGGAAGACACTTACTCAACACCACCCAATTCTTGAGTTACTCTTACCAACGAAAAGTGGGAATGACCGTCACATTATAACGCCCCCACGGCTGAAAGGTCGAGCATGTTCGGTGACGGGGTTTGAACCTACAGTCTGAAAACCACTAGTCGATCACCCTAGTCACAAGGGCATGCCGGGCTATAACGAATGTGAAAATGAAACAGATACCGTTTTATTTGAACCTACAAATAAGAGATAAACAATCTCATTTGATTGATTAGTGGATTAAAATCTGTATGAGCTTTGATAGGTAATCAGGTTTAGACATTCGGTTTACATTTAATAAATATGCCCACGTTTAGCCGATATCAGTGGTCCTCAAATTCTTCACCACCAAGGACACCTTTTATTATTAGTTTCCCCCCACTTTGAAAGATTCCGTCTACCCAACAAACTTATTTTATTAACAAATATTTAACTCGTTTTCCCATTTTTCACTATCAAGTAAAAGACATATATCACTGAAGATGCAATAAAAAACAGCAATATGAAAAAAAACGTACTTGCTCAATGAGATGATATTACCTTCGCTAACCCCCAGGGGTCCGAGGACCACAATTTGGGAACCATTGGCCTATATAGTTTGCGTAAAATGTTGGTTGGTTGTTTTTAAACACAAAGCTACACAACGGGCTATCTGTGCTTTGTACAGGACAGGTATCGAAACCTGATTTTTAACATCGTAAGACTGAATATTTGTCGCTGAGCCACTGAGGTGGGGGGCTACGTAAAATATTCAACAACTTTTTTGATTTTTTTATATAATTATTGATCAGTGTTTTTAAGTGTTTGCATGTTTTGTCAATACTTTGTCCAATAATTATGATTGGTTTGGTTTGTTTTGAATTTCGCGCAAAGCTACACGAGGGCAATCTGCGCTAGCCGTCTTTAATTTAGACTAAAGGGAAGGCAGCTAGTCATCACCACCCATCGCCAACTCTTGGGCTACTCGTTTAACAACGAATAGTGGCATTTACAGTCACATTATAACGCCCCCACGGTTGAAAGAGCGAGCATGTTTGGTGGGACGGAGATTCAAACCCGCGACCCGCAAATTGCGAGTCCAGCGCCCTAACCACCTGGCCATGCCGGGCCAGATATTTCGTTCTAAACTGTACAAATTGTATATATTTGTCTAGAAATCAGTACACTGACGACTTCCCATGTGGTGCAATTAAATGATGATGTATTTGAAAATATATTTCTTACTATTACATAAACGTACACTGAATGATAATAATTGAAGGTGATTATGTTCTTCACAAAATTAACCATACAAATTATTAGAGAATCTTTACCTAGTGATTACAGATTTCTCGGTCAGTTATGGAATCATATACACATAAGTATTACTTAAGACAGGAACGGTTTTATCATTAGAGATAATCACGTAATAACTCTATTTATTTGAACAATACAGAGATAAACTGGTAACACGTGATGATTCATTTGTTTAGAGATAGAGAAATAAACTGGTAACATGTAACGACCCATTTGTTTGGAGGTAAAGAGAAATACTGGTGACACGTAATGATTCGTTTGTTTGGAGGTAAAGAGATAAACTGGTGACACGTGAAGACCCATTTGTTTGGAGGAAGAGAGATAAGCTGGTAACACGCGAAGACCCGTTTGTTTAAAGATAGAGAAATAAACTGGTAACATGTAACGACCCATTTGTTTGGAGGTAAAGAGAAATACTGGTGACACGTATTGATTCGTTTGTTTGGAGGTAAAGAGATAAACTGGTGACACGTGAAGACCCATTTGTTTGGAGGAAGAGAGATAAGCTGGTAACACGCGAAGACAAGTTTGTTTAAAGATAGAGAAATAAACTGGTAACATGTCATGACCCATTTGTTTGGAGGTAAAGAGAAATACTGGTAACACGTAATTATTCGTTTGTTTTTATTCCTACAGAAGAGTTTAGCTTTCATAATTTGAAAAATTGTTAACGTTCACGTATTGTTCTAATTTATTTTAACGTTTCAGAAATGTACACAACTTGATAAACGCGTACTGTTCACGTGATGACCTCATTTGTTTGGTCGTTAGAGAGAAGTGTATATTGTACATCTTGATAAAACAGGTACCACTTACACAATGACTCCATTTATTTGGACGTTACAGAATCCTTTATATTCTATAGTTTGATCAACAGATAGCATTCACGTGATAGCCATATGATTTTGAAATTTAACGAAGTGTCTGTATTCTATAGTTTAAGAAATAGTTAATATTCACGCAATGACCCCACTTTGACCGATACAGAAGACACAACTTGATAAACGTACTTGATTAGTACATATGCTTCTAGAATGTCATAGATACATAAACAATATGTAACATAATAAAAAAATTGAAGTTCATAAGATGACTCAGTTTTTATTCGTTCACAAAGAATTACGTGCTCTATAAAACGAAATATTCATGTTGTTATGAAAAATGGCGAGGTAAAGACTTTCTTTTCTTTATTTACCAGTGGTGGGCAGATATTTGTTTGTTTGTTTTGAATTTCGCGCAAAGCTACACGAGGGCTATCTGCGCTAGCCGTCCCTAATTTAACAGTGTAAGACTAGAGGGAAGGCAACTAGTCATCACCACCCACCGCCAACTCTTGGGCTACTCTTTTACCAACGAAAAGTGGGATTGACCGTCACATTATAACGCCCCCACGACTGAAAGGGCGATCATGTTTGGTGGGACGGGGATTTGAGCCCGCGACCCTCTGATTACGAGTCGAGCGCCCTAACCACCTGGCCATGCCGGCCCTGGTGGGCAGAGCACAGATAGCCATTTGTGTAACTTTATGCTTAAAACTTTCTTTTTTTTAACGCTACATTAAAACTTTATAAACAGCCATTCCAGTAACGTATTTATATCATTGGGATTTCCAGAGAAGTACAACATTTAAATCCCCAAATTATCGACTTTTTTATATTCCGTCTACTATCGGCGAGGTTCACATATTTTATCATGTCGAATAATTTGTTTATTCTGCTACAACACGCTTTCAAAAGAACTGACCAAAAAACAATTTGGTGAAATCACTCACTATCTATGAAAAATACGTACAGGAAACACCATCAGTAATTAGTGGAATTAACTACATTATTGATGGTATGTTTGTTTAATTTTGTGTGCATGTGAGAACCTTATCTTATTATGAACCCTGTAGTCAATAAAAGCATGGCTTCACAAGCAACGTGGTGCATAAATAGTTCATAAAAAGCTGGTTAAAAACCTATGGGGTACATATGGATCGGTTTTAATTTTAGGGTTAACCTCTCAAGTGGCATTTACGTGTTTTTATTTTAACTTGAAAACTACGAAGAAAGGCATATATTGTAAAACCTGATAGCTGCATTACAAATAACAATAGAAAATGAATGCCAGAAGGAAAGCTACTTGGGAACTATAATAGTTGGTAAAATTCAATGTTTGTTTTATATTTGACAAAATGGTGAATATGTTTACTTGGGGTAAATTATAGGCAAGAATTTCACAACTACACAACTGTGCGGTAGAGAAGATGTTCGCTCTGACTCATATTTCACACCATACCTGATTGTGTGCTAAAAAAAGATGTTCATTCTGATTCATAATTCACATCATTCATAACTATGTGTTAAAAAAGATGTTCACTCTAGCTCGTATTTCACACCCTACATGATTGTGTGGTAGAGATGATGTTCACACTGACTCATATTTCACATCATTATGACTGTGTATTAGAAACGATGCTTATTCTGATACATACTTCACATCATAAGATACTGTGTACTAGAAAATATGTTCACTCGGACTCATATTTCACATCATTATGACTATGTATTACAAAAGATGCGAATTCTGATACATACTTCACATCATACATGATTGTGTGGTAGAGATGATGTTCACACTGACTCATATTTCACATCATTATGACTGTGTATTAGAAACGATGCTCATTCTGATACATACTTCACATCATACAATACTGTGTACTAGAAAATATGTTCATTCTGATTCATAATTCACATCATTCATAACTGTGTGTTAAAAAAGATGTTCACTCTAGCTCGTATTTCACACCATACATGATTGTGTGGTAGAGATGATGTTCACACTGACTCATATTTCACATCATTATGACTGTGTATTAGAAATGATGCTAATTCGGATACGTACTTCACATCATACAATACTGTGTGCTAGATAATATGCTCACTCGGACTCATATTTCACATCATTATGATTGTTTGCTAGAAACTATGTTCACTCTAGCTTATATTTGTTATCATACTTGACTGTGTATTAAAAGATGTTCACTCTGTCTCGTATTTCACATCATTCATAGTTGTGTGATAGAAAACATGTTTATAATTATTCATATCTGACAGATATAAATAGTCATGATATTGATGGTTGTGTATATTCCACAACTGCTTGACTAAGTGCTAGGTTATATTATATTTGGATGTTACCAGTGCTTAACGAGATAGAAAGATTCGCGTGTGTATGTAATATTGTATACGTTTCTTAATTATAAAGTTATTTATTTACACGCACGTATATATTTTAAACACATATGATATATATATATATATATAGCTAAAACCTTTCTATTAATGTTTCCACCATGGATAGACGTTCTTACCACACGGTAATTAGGTTTGTAACGGAACGTATAAGTCATGTGCAATACTTTAACGTTGTCTTACTGAGAGCCAACATGATGTAGACAGTAAGTTTAGTTGTTAGAGTAAAAATAAAGTGGCATAGTAAATAAACATCAGTGAAATTAGGTTCTGAATATTGTAATTTTGTAGATACAAAATAAACAAATCCTGAAAACATTTTTTTTTATTTACACCACATTTAACATTATATTCTTTAAAGATAACAAATAATCTTTGTTACTAAATACGGGCATTAATAGAAGTACTTTAAACGAGACAAACCTTTTCACAAACCCTTAACAACACGAAGAATAAAATGCTGCAACTGCGTATTGTGCGCTTCACAAAGTTGCTTGACTATAGGACATTTAATTGTACATTACAAAAGTCCAATTTTTAAATAGATTTGAAGTACGTTTCACACATTCATGCAAAGCTCAAAGACATAAATGCTACAAAAAAAAAAACTTTTCCGTTACATAGATAATAATTTTCCAAAAATACGAGAAAACATTTATCTTAAAAGTCAAAACAAAAGTATTTATAATACTCTCAAACTTAGTTCTACAAGGTATTTGATCTATAATACCATTTAACCCCATTCAAGTGATAGTCAAAAAGCTCTTACAATCACTACGGAAATATATGAAATTATATTACTTCTCAGTTTGCCTTTTCTTTAGTGTAATTGCGATAACAGTTCAATATATATCACAGCCTTGCGTTATTGGGCTCCGAAAATTTGCATATTCACTTATTTTAGTTCATATGTGGACAACGTGATCAGCAAAATCTATATTCAAAATGAGATCAGCATAAAATAAAACCTCCTACACACATATACATAAGATAATCACAATACGATTTTTTTTCTAAAAATTATAAGCATATCACTGAATATTTAACAAGCCACCAATGTCATCCTATTGAGGTGCTTTCTTGAAGAGAGGACGAGACTTAATACACGTTAATTACTTCTTCGTATTTGCAGTGCAAACATATGTTGTGCCAATGTCTTTTATAGCTTGCTTAATTGCTGTTTCTAAGCATAGCCACCGTCAGCTCATCCTACTATTGAGATTAGTTAAGAAGGTTGTGTGGCTTACAAAAGCTATTATACTCTTCTGAGATCTGACCACTTTTCGGTTATCCTTAAGTAATCGATGAACCTTCTGACCTCTTCTTGTAAATTCTTTGTGTTTAATAGGTAATTAATTCATTGTAAAATTTAATAAATACATGTGCAACAGATCTTCTTGTTTCCTTTCCGGAAAAAAATACAGCGTTTTAACATTGTCTGGAGAAATATGAGTTTCAACGCTGTGTGGGCAAACACATTTCAGCACTGGTTACACAAATAAATCTAGACAATGCAGTTTAGCTATTAAAAGGATAGAGCGTCAGCCATTTCAAAAATATTAAAAACTGGATCAGCATAACTTTATATTCCTTTTTGTGTCAGCTTGATGTACTCTTTCATGAGTGGAAATGTTCGAAAGAACTTTGTAACCAATTAGGGCTTGTTTGTGTTTGTATAGATTAAACCTACCTCAAAATAATTTTTTTTTAATGTGTAATACTAATCGTTTTTTTTTTCTTTCTTGATTTTCGAAAAGGACCAACATCAATAACGTATAAGTGTTTTATAAATGACCTCATAGGGTGGTTACTGGCAATGATATTAAAAAAATATTTACTAATACAAGAGCACAAATTTTTTTTAAAGAAACGTATATATATATAAACGTTAAAAACGGGTTGATGAGTTTTTATCAGTCTCTAAAGCAGTCTCTCGATTTTTATCGTACTAAATCCTTTACAGCAAATTCTTTGGAACAGAGTTTTTAAAAATCTTAATCACATTTCTAGTTCATTTAGTTATGGTAGTCTCTGTTAACGGTTTATACTGCTGTGTATAAATGGGAGTTTAATGGTTCTACGGAAAATCAAACTGATATCCATGGTCGAGAGTAAAGGTAAACATTAGCTAGTTTAATAGGCAATGATATGGGAATTTCTGAATAGCGAACTCGAAGCATTCTAAAAGAAAAGAAAATTACTTGTCTTACTGTCCTTACCTTTCTGTATAGGTTTTGTGTGTGATATAATTGATCAAATAATGAATCTCTTAATGACATCGTTCACAATGTTTGACAAACTTACTTTCTTAACATCAATCTTACGAGCTGTTAATACAAGTCTCCTGCTAAATTAAACTGTTGTTTAACACTAACTTACATCATGGTGTTACTTAAAAGAAGTAGCATGTTTAATTGTATAGGATTTGAAGAGTTACGAATACCTGGTTTTTCTGTTAAACATGTTACAACAAAACATACTCGTGAAACATGCACGTTTTTCCTATATCTTGAAAATAAAACCAATTCAAACCGGTATTTTCAAGATAAAAATCAATAATACTGAATCGTATTTCACTGTTAACTTGAAAATATTTTTGGGATAATTTTCGTTTAAGATAAATAAAGAAATAAACATTTTGCTAAATTTGCATTGACGTCTACCCTGTATACAATTCCTTGTACATATGTGTACGTACTGCTCTTTAATATAGGTACCACAACTCCCATTTCACCTGCCACATACGTTGCATGCGTAAGTAAATACCCTGGACGACTCATAAAATATCTTATTTACATACCTAATGCAGCACCAACCCCACTAGCAAATACTCTGCTCGGAATGTCCATATACCATCCCTCACGAACAGCTGCTTATTTTGTCAGCATTGTTGTTACTGTTCTGGGTGTGTGTACGTGTGTATGTTTATGTGTGTGAGGGTAAGTATAACAGTGATGTTCAACCCAATAAAGAAAACAGGATACGGTCTCAGCCCACAAACGTCGCTGAAGAGCCAATGGACGGTATATCAAAAACAAGAGGGTCTTTCTTATTCAGTGTTGTAACTAGGTGATTGATACTTCGAAGAACGCTTTCAAGATCTTTAATTTATCACGAGTCCACTGAGAACAGCATAGCTACAAACTGATTTTCTTCTAAGCATTGTTATGAGCAACCGCACCTTTTTACTACCATTCCTGGTAAGACCCCCAAAATAATGTTACTGTTGTCATTAAAGTACAACATGGTTATGGAAGACATCTTGGACGGAGCGCAACAAGGTCCGATAGATCCTAAGGGGTCGATTTGTTGAACTAAATGAGTATGAGGATAGCGGTGAAGAAATACAAATGGACATTCTCCACTGCAGTAGTTAGCCTCATATCTCTTTGGAGCGATGACCCAGTCCCATTTGAAGTCCACAAAATCAACGGTGAGAGGGTAACGGCAACACCTGACTTCAGTTGTTTCAATGTCACATTCAAGACCATCTGAATCTCGTTTCGACCGCGTCGCTTGTGGTTTCTTCATTTCAATCTCAATGAAAGGTCGCTAAAACACATTTAGAATTTTTAGCAATATATATATTATTTGTTTAAATGGTATCATAAGCCTATCTTGCAAATAAAAACATGGGTTATTAGATAATATTAGTTTGTCATTACCATTTATAAAATACTCAAATCTGTATTTACTTTTCAAGGCAGCAAATAAAATTGGTTAGTTTGTTGAATTTAGTTAGTCAGACTAATAGTGCACATTTTATTCATTATGTCAGTGTCAGAAAATCCGAATTAAAACAAAATTTAGAACCTATCTCCAGCTCATCGATGAAACTTGAATTAAAGAAAAAAGAAAAAATCATAAATACTAAAATTAAAAACGCTAACACTGCATTGGAAAACTACTAATTTGTCACAGAAAAATATTATCAGTAAAAAATACAAAATGAAGAGGTCTGAATGAGATAAAATTTCATGTAAACTCATGTCCGAGACTTCTGGTTGTCAAAGATTTCAAGGCTCAGACATAGCCATTCTTAATCTAGAACTACTGAATAGAGGGAGAGCAACAAGTTAGCAGCAAAGGCCGCATATGCGGCTACTTTTAACTGTATATTGGGATTGATTACTACAATTATAACACATCCACAGCTGAAAGTGAGGAACGTGTTCCTCGAACTTTGGACTTTTAGTCCGCAGCCCGTCACACGAACCACTAGCTAAACCTGTTCTATTTGTCAAAGCGATAAAAATACATTAACTAACTTGCTACAAGTTGGTGCTACCACAACATGGTTAAAATAATTAACTATGTTTATATGTATACCTGCTTGACTCAGCAACACATTTTGATTTTATTGATTTAAATACATGATATTATGTCAGTCTCATAAGTAAAGTAAGTACACTTTGTTAAATCACTACCACGATATTTTTGTATGTAAACTTCATTATTGAAAGACTCAGGGAAATTAATGCATAAAAAAAATTGCATTTTAATATATTTATTTCAGTGAAGCCGTAACACAGATAAAATCGTGTGGTATTTACACTAGTTATAGAAAATATATATACTTTGAATGACTTATTTAGTCTGACTCCTATTTCAACAAAGTATAGATCGTTGGCATACAATTAAATCATATAACACTATCATGATCACAGTATTTCAATTCATTAAATTAATTTGTTTGTTTGTAAGTAAGCACAAAGCTACACAATGGGCTATCCGTGCTCTGCCCACCACGGGTATCGAAACCCGGATTCTAGCGTTATAAATCCGCAGACATATCGCTGTGCCACTGGTGGCCCATTGAATTAAGAAATTACTCAGGTCCAAAAATAAAACAAGTCACAAAATGAAAAACCAAATGAAACTGATTGAGGAGCTCTCAGCTAGACATGACAGGGATAAAAAATGACTTGGTGTTACTTTATGGCTTCTTAAATATGACAGCAATAGGAAATCAATGTTTTAAGAATTTTTGGAAAAGGGATCAAAAAATGACTTAGAGTGTTATTACTTTATGGTTTATTAAACATAACTATGTTTAAGAAGCCATAAAGTAACAGCACTCGAAGTCATTTATTGATCTCTTTTCAAAAAAATCCTTAAGACATTGATTTTCTATTGCTGCAGCAATAGGAAATCAATGTCTTACGATTTTTTTGAAAAGGGGATCAAAAATTATTTAGAGTGTTGTTACTTTATGGTTTATTAAACATAACAGCAATAGGAAATCAATGTCTTAAGGATTTTTTGAAAAGGGATGAAGATATGACTTTGAATGTTGTTACTTTATGGCTTCTTAAACATAACAGCAATGTAAATCAATGTCTTACGATTTTTTTTGTTTATTAATCCTAGTAAATTAGTAAATTATTGTCGATAGTTAATTAGTTCCAGGGGCACTAAGTTCCTTGTTAGTTTTAGTATTATATAGCGACCGAATTTTTTTTTTATCGATATCTAAATAAAATCTCTACGTTACCTATCTCACAGTTAATCCTCCGCTTCAAACTTAAAAGGTGTTGTATTATTATAATTTGAGTCAATTATTTAAAAGCAAATTTCTATGTTATTATGATTTAGCGCACGTATACGATTAGGCATTTTGGTATTCTCAGTTAAAAGCTATGTCAGACATTTCATACTACAACTAAGTTTGATGTATTATTTAAATGATAGAAGAGAATATCTATATTTTAGTGCACAATACATTGAATATTCTAGTTCGCAGAAGAATATAAGCAATGAGATCGTTTTAAAAAGTACAAATATAAAGAACAGTGTCCGCTCCAGCCTCATACTATAAATTTTAAACTTTAGACGATTAAAATTAGAAGTGATATTGTTATATGTTTGAACGTATTTTTTCATGAAGGAACTTGCTCGTGGTTTAATCTTGTTTACTGATATTTTATTTACAGTGTATAGTTTACTAAAATACATATACACCATATAAACGCAAATATCTACTGTTTTTGTGTATATATGTGTGTGTATTTCAAAGTCGATTGCTATAAAAACATATAATCAAATCCATTATTTTTCTATCAAATGTAGAGTTTCAACTTTGGTTGAAACTTATACCGAGGGTGAATTTTAATTCATCAGCAACAGAGATCTTTCTGAAACGGTAGTACAAATGTAAAGATGTAATTTTGCTTCTAAACGTGGGACTGAGAAACGGAAGGTGGTTTCTGTATGCTCTGTATCAAATATACGAGGAAGCCAATACCATGTTAGAGACAGAGAGTGAGGGGACGTATCCCCCTTGGAAATTACACCACATGAACAACCTCACCAACTTGTAGCCCTTTTATATCTAGAAAAATATCCTTTTAAAACTTACATGAGATTCTTCGTCGCTTTCAGAAGGATAAGAAATGGGAACGATGTTTCCCTTGTAGTCTTCAGTTTGAATCACTAATCCAAGGTTGTCTTTAGGGTGGTTAATCCAGTGGGACACAACTTTACGAACCCCTAGCTTGATCCATCGTCCATGATGCCCCCTCAGGTCGACATGCTTTACTCGGTGCTGTACAAATAACCGACATTTAACTCGATACTCCACTTAGCCTACTGGTTTTGTGCTTTGGAACATTATTGAAGTTTTTAAACAAGTTACAAAATTCGAACGACTGTTCCGTAAATTATATTTATAGTGCACATGTAGGGCCGTTACAAAAATATGCTTAGGATAAACACATGATAAAATATACTTTCATGTATTTTGTTCGATGATTATAAGTTTTGCCTAGCTAAAGCAAAGGATATGGGTTTTATAATTTACGATAATTACGCAGAACTGTGTACCACTTTAACATTTGACATTTTGTTAGAAACTTAAGCTCGTCACATTCAACCGAAACGGCGAAGCGTTGGTTTTGAACTTTAAATAAATTATTGCCTCAGTTTGAGTTATCTGTAAGTTTCCGTAAGTGAAGACTGACTCGGGCTTTCGAGACAGATATTTTTTCATGTATGCAGCAACTGTAGGGTCTCAGATTCGAACTTAGTTCGATCTAAACTTCCATATTTTCATAATATTTACAACTGTGATGTTTTAAATGAATTTGTTTCAAACTGTGACGGAAATCAGTGCATTTCTTTCAGTCACTTACCTAGTACTGGGCAAGCTCGGCAAAAGCACAGTCAACGTAATACTTTTAGCAATTTACGTCGTTAGTATAACGTCATTATCAACTTTTATAGATTATATTCGCAAAATTAAAACAAAGTCTATAAAAGATGGCACAAACAAAATTGTTTGCTCTGTAACCGTATTGCCTTCTGATTACATGAACACCTTGAAGCGTAGGGAAGGCATCCATATAAATAACAAACTGTAAAGCAAGCTTTAATAATAACAATTTCTTTTGCAAATGATAAT